GCCCAGATACCCACCAGATTGCCCTCGCAGTCGATGAAGCGAGAGAAGAATCCCATCCCGTTGCCAATTGCAGTCTTGGGCCTGTGATGATAGCTGTCAGTCGTCTTTGCAGATGGGCAAACGGGGTCGAGGTCGAAAAGCACCGGTCACTTACACGTGCAGCTTCCCACCCAGTTTCTCAGCCTCTGCGATCGTCTCCTCAATGCTCTTCACAGCGAACGTCGGCAGAACTGGGATGCGCTCCGGCCGCCCCTCGTCAACGTTTGAGATACGGTTGCTCTCCTCCATGAGGAGGAATGCCCCATGGAGGTTGCCCTTGTTGAAGAAATGCACCGTCTTCACCCACGGCGTCACCGATGCCATGGGAGTCTCTGGACACTCCCAACCCAATACTGCCGTGTAAAACCTGGCGGCTCGGGCCGCATCCGTGACTGGTAGTTCGAGCCAAGTCATTTGCCCGTAGGGCGGTGCGCAAGCGGTGCCGTCTGAAGACATTTTTTGCAAACTGCGGGAATGATATTGTCGATGCGTGAAATTGAAGTTACTAGAAGAAGCCGTACCCTCACAACCGCATCGATCTCAGAGAATAAGGGCACTCTGTGCTCCAATTAAGCATGTCTCTTTACTACCGGCATCTTCGTGGCTGGTTTCCTCCTCTCAGCCGCAAGCCCAGGCCGTAAGCCCACATTCAATTGTTTTGTCTCGATCGCCGTTAGGGGCCTCAGCTGCCTGGACCAAGAGCAAGCCACCAAGCCACCCCAGGCATCCACGCTCACATGACATCGTGTTTCTCCCGCGTCGGTTTTGGAGATGATTGATCGTCCCAGACATTTTCTCGCAGCACGACCGCTGTTGAGACGCGACTGCCTGGTCTACGCGAGCTGAAGCCGTGGTCTGGTCTTGGATACAAGTCGATCACAGTTCTAAGTCGGAAGCATATTAAATCTTTCAGCCGTCTTATCCATAGCTGATATGTAATCCTGATATTCGGTGATGTACAATGTACAGTTGGGGGACTTATCACACCCCACGTATCTATCTATGTAGACGTCATAGATCTATATCCATATGCAAAAGATGAATGCTGATAACGAAAACCATCCAATGTACTATGCCCCAGCAACCACATCAACTCCGTCTATATCCTTAAACCCTAGAGCCGAGCAGCCCTCATCTCTACGCCTCCCCGACGCCCTCATTCTCCATCAACGCCGCCCTCGCCTCCGTCTCATCGTCAACCTCCTTCTGCCCGACAGGACTCGTCCGCCCCGTCCCGGCCTGGATCAACACTGCAACAACAGCCAACGCAGCAGCAGCCTGCCACGTACCCCTCGAAGCGCCCGCGTACCTCTCCACCGCGATGGCGTGCTCCGCCGGCTCCAGCCCGCCATTGAACACCAGCGCCGGGCTCCCAATCAGCTTCGTAATCAGCTCCTCCCTCGCGGCGCTCAGCCTCCCCTTGCCGTCGAGCTCCGTGAAGCTCTGCACCAGCCCCGAGCGCAGCAGGCGGTAGAACACGCCGCCGCCGATGGCCGTGCCGAAGCTGCCGCCGAAGCCGCGGAAGGTGCCCAACAGGCTGGTCGAGATGAAGTGCTCCGCGGGCGCGCTGAGGTGCAGCAGGTGCGCTAGGGTGTAGTTGAGCGTGGCGCCGGTGGCGAGGCCGTTGAGCACGACGGCGGCGACGAGGGTCCAGAGGGCGCCGTCCGCGGTGGCGGCGAGCGAGAGGCCAAACATGGTCACGGCGAAGCAGGCCAGCGCGACGACGGAGGGCAGCCAGAAGGCGCCGTTGCGGCGGACGTGGAGCCAGCCGACGATGAGCCCGCCGGAGCCGAAACCGATGTTTGTCGGGATGAGAATGGAGCCCGCGATGGCTGGGGCGTAGCCGCGCACGGCGAGGACGAAGATGGGGGTGTAGTAGAGGAGGGTCCAGCGGATGGACATGAAGAAGAGCTGGGCGACGCAGGAGAAGAGGACGCCGCGGGAGGAGAGGATGGCGATGGGGATGATGGGGTCGGTTGCGACTTTGAACTCGATCAGGACGAAGAGGGCGAGTCCCGAGAGCGAGAGGAGGATGGGGAGGTACTGGATGTCGCCGGAGAGACCGTAGAGGAAGAGGGAGATTGTTAGGACCTTACGGGTTAGTATCGTGAGTGAGAAGAGAGGGGGTGGGTGAGGGTGCTCACGAGTGCGAAGGCGCCAGCATAGTCGATACGGGCCAATTTCTGGGCCACCGACCTGCCTTGTGCTTTCGTTTCCTGCTCCGAGCTGAGGGTCTTGGGGATGGTGAGGAAGGCACCGAGACCGGCGAGGATGCCGATTGGTGTCTGGGCCCCAAAAAGCGCTCTCTGTGCTGTCGTCAGTTTGGAAGACCACCAGCAGGGGCAAGAACTTGAAGACGAACCCATCCGATTACTGGCAACAGCGCTCCGTACACGACGGCCCCAAACGACAGCCCGATCGTGAAGCCGGCATTCACCAGCCCGACAAAAATGCCCCGCCTCTTCTTGTCGACCAACTCCAGCACCAGAATCACCGACAAGGTCATGATGCCGGCACCGCCCATGCCCGTCACGGTCCTCCCAAATATGAGAACCCAGAAAGAGTGCGCCGTGGCGGTGATGACGCCGCCGACCGCGAAGCAACCACCCAGGGGCATTACCAGATACCGCGGCGGGAAGATGGTCGCCAGACGGCCAAACAGAGGGGCCAGAGAGGCCATGCTGATGAGGTACGAGCTCGTGAACCACATGGCGCCCTCATAGGCCTTGAGCTCCTCCGCGATGACGGACTGGGTCATGGTCATGCCGGAGGTGTTCGAGGCTGCCGACGAATACAAGTGTCAACTTTCCTCTCACACCGGCCTCACAGGAGATTACTGCCAGAAATTCTTACCTTGAAGAAAGATGAGCATCCAGACGCTGATCATCAGAACGACGGCCCGAGCGGCGCCGATGGGCTGTTTGGGCGCATCTTGGTCCTCCTCTCCGTCCGAGTCCCGGCCTCGGCCGCTGCTGCCGGCCGGCGACCCATTTCGGAGCGTCCGAGAGCTCGTCTCGGAGTTCAGCAGCGTCGTCGTCTCCGTCGCGATGGCTTCATCGGGGAGCGACTCGACATCCCCTTGCCGTCTCCGAACATGCGCTTCATCCGCCATGGCGACGCGGTTTCTCCTCGGCCAGAATGCCCTTATCTCGGATGGTTGCACTGGCCAGGCTCGGCGTTACCCATGAAAGCGGAAGCTGAAGCTCTGGCGGGGTAGCTGGTTTCCTCTTTGCGCAACGATGCAAGGCAGTAAACTCAAAAAAATCCAAGAACGAAACAAGAGGGGGAGGGGATGTTGGTTGGAAGCCGCACTAGTTCTGCATCACATGAGTTACTTGACCAGCGAGCGCCATGCGTATGATTGATTGATGGCGGACATTAGTGCCACCACGTGTTGAGGACCGTTTATCTTGGTGCTTGGTAATCTGGCTGAGGTCCCCTTGCTTCTCTCCGATGCAGCTAGACGTCAGTTGGCGCGATAACTGAGATGGGGCCCGCCTTGGTGGAGCGTCTGCCCCGCCCCCCGTCCAAGTAAAGGCTCCCCAACGCTGTTGCCCAATCACGTCTCTGCGGTGGATGAACAGACCAACCTCACCTCGTGGACGTCAACGTCCTTTGTGATGCCGTCCGCAGCACACTTTCAGTATGTTCGGGACTTTTCAGTATTCAAGCTTGAATTATGGTAGTGGTTTGTTGCCCCCCTGATTTCTCTCGGCAACGTTATCGGAGGGTGTTATTCACCCCTGTGCGTCACTTACAACCCCAACTTCCGCGGCTAAATGGCAGTGCTATCAAAGAGCTGGCACTTTGAAGCTGATTTTTATTCTTCCTCGCTGATGTTGCATTTTTAATGCTACGTAGGAACTGGTTTCGAAAGGAGGTAGGAATTGTAAACCAGGATCTCGTGCACGTGAGAAGCTGGGCCTAGTATGCAGCGAGACAGGATCAAGCTGGCACCGCGAGATACACCCCAATAATTAATTCATCCTTCTTCACATGGATATCTAACGTTGTGTGTTCAACATAGTCGTTCTGTAAAACATATATGAGTGCTAAAATGGAGTGAAAAGAGTGTGTGTGTGCCCAGCGTGGAAGTTAGTGGCTGAGGTGCTTTCAATCACAATGAGAGAAGGAACAGGATAAGGGCGGGGACCAAAGAAATTAGGATTAAGCGGACGCGAAAACAACCTAACATGTTTATGGTGCTTGTGATGAGCGACCTGGGAAACCTCAGAAAAAGGAAGGACACTAAAGGTCGTAATAGGGACACCTAGGAGGGGCGGGATACAGAGGTAAACACCAGATATTTCTATTTCATCTAAGATACAGGTGACGTCCTTCTCGTGAGTGAGCTTCGCAACTTCGCCTTGAAGCACCTCAGTTTGACCCGCTGCAGAGGCGAAATAGGTGTGGTGGTTCCCCGGGTCGTCGAGATGTAGAAGGCGCGCAGCACCCTGATACCACGCGTTCCTGCCCTTCCCATCCCGGTGCGAACATATAACAATGCGAACGTCCTACTTCCGATTCGATTCACCTCGAGACCATCACGGGCGGGTAGGGGACGCCCTACCCGCTCGGTGGTGGAATGGTATGAGGTCTAGGATAAAGGAGGGTGGTGTGGAGGATATGGGTTCGAGCCTACGCGACGACAGGCAAAAACTACCGATCGATCGAATTTCCCGGAATGTGCACCAGAGACTAGCCCACACCGGTGGGTGAACTCTTTTGCCATTTGATCTTTATTTTTGATTGGGATTGACTGCTGAGCGCCCAAATGAAAGAAAAAAAAAAAAAAAAAAAAAAAAAGAGAGAGAGAAGATCGTGGTGGACAGAAAGCACTCATCCGTGAGAAGCAAACACAGACCGACACAATAAATTCCATGACTCCATTCTCCCCAGACATCAAGCCCTTCATGTCCCTATACCTCCCTCATATAACTGTGCCAGCACTCATGTCCAACTCAGAAAACTCGCGACGGATACCCCACAGGCATCATATCGTAAGGCGCAGGCATATACCACGCGAGTCCAAGGGCCAGGTTATACGCCCAGTGTTGACTCGAGCTGCCGTTGCCCTTGTCAATGATAGTCTCATGCGTCTTGACGGGCTCTTGCGGCGTCTTCTTCGCCTTCCTCGGCGATTTTGTCGCATTACCGCCGTTTCTCGAACCAGGACGACGACGGTGCAAGCGGAGAAGTCGACGAACCCTGCAGCGGGTGTTCCTCATTGATCGTGGCCGCGAAGTCTCGACGATCCATGGCGAAACCTTCTCATCAATCTCCAGCAAAGGCGCATCCTCAGACTGTCGCGTGCTCGCCATCGTGGAGGCGTCGTCAAACTCCTTCTCGACGCTGTAGAAGCGATGCTGCTCCTTCTCGATGCTGTAAAATTGTTGTCGCGACGCAGCCTGCGACTCTTTCTTGTGATCTCGTCTCATCTAATATACGTGTAAGTGACTGGGACTGCACGCCAACCTAAGATCCTCTCACACGAACCACTTACAAAAGAAGACGTCAGACGTGCCCTTCCATTCTTTCGAACGACTGTCCCGTTCCCCGCCGACGGAGCAGCGCCGGCAGCGACTTTTGAACTCCACGGCTTCTTCGGACTCCATCGCCGCCAAGACGCCGGCCACGTCGGTGACCGGGGCCCCGGGTGGGATATCGGCTGTTGTGGGATCGCGCAAACATGCATCTTTATCACGACTTACACCGGGACTCGGCGGTTGTCGTCTAGTCGACTCGACGTCAATTGTTGTCACCACGGCAATGGGAACGCCTTTGCTTGAAATGTGGTTAGGAACGGTCCGGTCGCGTTCCAGCTTATATGAAAAATCTTGAGGGGGCATTGTCTCTCATGTGCCAACGCACAAGTCTTACAAAAAAGTACGACCTGGCGACGGGGTGCCGATCGCACGGAAACTTACATCCAACCAGACTTCCCGGTATGCTCCCGATGCCTCCGCCCATATAATCACGGCCGACCCTTGGATGGGGCCGGCCACGTTATTTAAGCCTCGGCGCCATGCCACTCCCGGCGGGCGCATCTTCAAGACTTGGCCGACTCACGCGGCACTTTGCACGGACAAATTGCAAATCTCACCTCCGCGCCCTCAATTCGTGATCGCAAATAAACTTCCCGGCCAAAGGCAAACCAGCTCACTGGGTGTTGTGCCTCCGAACGGGACGAGCCACCTTCCTTGCCAAGGTAAGCGGCGAGAACCTTTGGGGCAGTCCGCCTCCACCTCCACACCCGCGCCGACAAGCATTTGGGGGCTAAGCGCGCGAAAATAAGCTTCATGAGGGGTGCTGCCCTTGCGAGTAAGCGATTACCACCTTGACAAACGATCATTAATTTGTTTGTTGTGTATGTAAAAGGGCGCCCATGTATGTATCTCTTTCAAGGCGGGGGGGAATATGCCTTCGCCATGCGTCCACTCTTTTGAAAATGCCCGAACGCCGGTTCTCCTTTTTGACTCCCTGCCCCAGATATGTCATATATGCGCATGCCACACGAATGGCAGTCTATGTAAACTCTCTTTTCCTTCCTTTTTGACGTCAAGGCAGATCGTCCACGTAGGCCAGCGTATCCCTCTCTTCGTCGCACAGCCTGGCAAACTCAAGCAGCAGCCGCCACACGTACAGCCTCATGTCTTCGCGTCTGAGTACCTTTCCCGCCCAGTCCCTACCCTGTTCGGCGATCCATCTCGCAGCGTCATCGCCCTTACTTTTCTTCCCCAGAACCTTGTGCACATCCCACTGCGAGGGCGCAGCATCATCTCCGTCAGTGAAGTAGTCCAGTACGCCGTAGAGATCTTGGAACGTGTTGTCCAGCGGGACGAAGTGAAGCCACGGCACGAGGCGGTCGTCGTGCCACTCGGCGTACACCGTCGCCTTGAGCGGCACGCTTGTTGACAGCAGAAACGCGCGGAAGCGGCCGCTGAAGCTGTACCCGTCCGCGTCGGGGAGGAACTTGCTGGAGAACTGCTCTGCCATGGGCGTCGCATTGACGACGGACAGGTGCGGCGTGATCCAGTCGCATTCCTTCCGCCGGTCGTTGCTGGGCCCGCACGACAAATGGGTGAAGCCCACGTCAGCAAACCCGGACAGGAAGTCGCCTAGACGCTTCTCGCGGCGACGCGTGGTGTTATAGCGCTCCAAAGGGGGCATGTCGAACGTCATGGCGCGGACGTCGTTGGCCTCCATGCCGCGGACGGTCGTTCCGTTGAGCATCTCGACGAGGCGCTGGCGATGGAAGTGCATCCAGTTGTCTGACTGTGTCAGACCGCCAGAGCCTATGCCGCGCCATGTGAGGCGGTCGAGCTTGTCTGGCCATGCTGGGCCATGTGAGCTGCCCCCGGTGTAAGCCTCGTCGTCGGACAGGTACATGGCACCCGGGATGAGGATGTCCGAGTTGACGCGGAGCTTGGAGCCACCGAAGAGGGGAATGAGGTCCTTCGTGGTGTTGACATTCAGCGGCTCGACGAAAGTCCCGTGGAGCGAACGTAGATGGGGTTGGACACAAGGATCTTGGGAACCGGTGAAATTCTGGATGTAGCCTTGTCGAGCAAACGGTGCCTCCCACGAATATGGCAACGTTGGCGGCAGTGACAGATCTGTTGCCGCGGGTACGTTCCTGGAAGGGGAGCCCTCGGGGCATGCGTCGCGCACCAGATCCCAGTACTTGCGACGATCGTCGCTCGTCCACTCCTTCGTGTACGACTTGCCCACGTCCGTGAGACCCTGGTAGCCGCTCGTAGCCTTGTTCTTCATGGGCATCTTGCGTCCCTTTTCCTCCTTCGCCAAGTACTTCTGCTTCAGCTTCCACGGGACCAACACGCGGGGCTCATGCATATAGTTAATGGGCATATCCACGTCTGGAAGATACTCCTCAAACTCAGACACAAGCGCTGTCCATAGATCCAGCCAACGCCCCCTCCCCTCGGTATCTCCTTCGTCCTTCGTATCTCCTTCGCTCTTGGTTTCTCCTGCGCTCGCTACCTTCTTATTCCGAACCCGAATGACATGTTCCGCCGCGTTCGCCTGGCTTGCAATTGTCTTGGCTTCGACGGCCCAGAAGGGCTTCAGATCGTCGTAGATGCGGTCAAAGAATTCCTCAATGACAATCGCTTGGGTCTCCTCGGCATGGCGGAACCACTCTTGGAAGCCCGGAGGCGGGTGTCGGCCGCGTCGCTCCCGGTAGCGTTGCGCGGCATTGTGCAGCGTGCGGCTCCGTTTCTGGAGGATCGCATCTTGCCTCGCTCGCGCATCGTGAATCAGCCAGTCGATCGGGTTCGTATTGACGTCGCTCGAGTTGAACGGGTACTTGAAGTAGTCGGTCACCTCGCCGTCGGTGAACTTGATCGTGGAGGCCTTCTGAGTGATTGTGTCGCGGTAGATGTAGGAACTCGTCAAGATGAGCGACAGGATGAAGACAACCAGTACACCCTTGAGCAGGAACATGGGCGACCTGCTTGGCGGCGGCTTGTTGATTGCCTGCCACACCATGGCGACTGAGTACGAGATTTCTTCCGCTCAGTGGATGGGGAAGATCAGGTTCAGTTCACCGTGGGGGCTTCGAAGTGCGGCCGGCTTCCCATGTTCGACACCGACAGAGGAAAAGCGAAGGTCCACGAAAGCAAAGACCCTCCGTCATCAACGAATGACGAAGGCCATATGCTGCGGGTAGCTTTCGTAAAAGGCTACGCGGCTCGGGAGCCCCTTTACCAAAAGATGCGCCGCGGTGGCAGACCCTGGTTCGCTTGACGTGGGGACATGATTGCGTGGTGGGGGAGATTGCGCCGAGCCACTTTAAGTGAGTAAATTTGAACCGCAGCTGCTGTCTGAGACTCGCAGACAATACTTGTGGAAGGCATGGCAGACCTCAATGATGAGACCGGGTGAGTGATTGTGTTTGTCGAATATGCATTTCTGCTTTGTGGTTACTCGGGAAATCTGGTGGTGTTGGTGCAGGAATTTAAACAACTACCTAGGTCTGACCTCTGCACGGCCCCATACCTCGCATTCCTCAGCGGTTGAAGGAGCCTCGACACAATGGAGAAAATGCAGCGGTGTTGGACCAATAAGTCGAGGAATCAACCATGATATTAATAGTATAGCAACATAGTGCTTTCTGTCCATTCTTAGTTGGGGGTGTAACGAGAACGCTTTTTATTTTCCCCCCTGTGTCTGGGTGGCTATTCCTGCGTACTGAAGCACTTATATCACGGGCAACGAGAGCGACGATAACGATAACGAGGAGGACGATAATAACAATAACGACAACGACGACACACGAAGACGATGACAAACGACGACGACGGTGGTAACGACGACGACAACAACAGTAAAGCGGACTTAGTTATACATCCACGTGAAACGTAGTCGCTCTGGCACAGGAGAAATAGGCCGTCTCAACGAAACATCATAAACTTATCGTGCCATCCATCTCTGTAGTTACAGCAACACTACCTTTCTCTGATTCTAAAGACTTGATTTATTACAAATCTACGCCCTCAAAGCCAAGACTAGAAGAAGAGAATAGTCGAGGAGCCACAAGCGGAAGTGTTGTTAACTCAGACCATGTAGAGGAACGTTAAGTCATCTCAGGTAGTGATTTCAAGGTCGCCATGCTACTAGAAGCCCTCCTACACACTGACCATAATCGCATTCGCCATTTTTTCTTAACAACATATGTATGAGTCGACTAGTAAATCAAACTTGGCTGTGTGAGAACATCCATGTGAGCCAAGGGCCGTTTTTGCTGCCTGAGAGCCGTTTGAGAGCCCGACAACGTAGATGTCATTGCGTCCACCGATGACACGTCCACTACGTCTTCAGATATCCAAATTTGAGAAACGCTACAACTTTTGCAGCCACTTGATGCCTGGCTCATGGAGTAAAACAAATCAAACTGGTGGCAATTCAGTCTTCAAGACGTTTTTTTCCCTTCAGTAATGTGGAATTATAAACCTCCAATGAACGTGCATGCAACAGACTGACCACATCATTGACTCCATCGGATCAACAACCCCCAAGTAAACCAATTTGGAGACCCCACACAGCTTACATAACCGCCACAACCAAAAACCCGGACCAACCCGGCCCCCTCCAGCCAATCAAAAGCTCCGTAATGCAATATTAGCGAACCGCCCGAAAAAGAAGAGGCGAAAACCATCGACGACGTCGACCACTCGCCGACACACGCATTCATAGCGAACTCCCCCCCGTCCTCCGCCGGCCGCACCGCCCTTCCCCTCGACGAACGACACCTCTCCACTCCATCACCGCCGCACTTTCCCCTGTCCTTCACCACAACCTCTCGTCACATTCAAAGATGCTTTCCTCCACGAGGACAGCGGCCTCAATGGCCCTGCGAGGTAAGCCTTTGCCCCGGCCCGACACCCGAGCGCCCGAAAAGAAACTCCCTCGCGGGATTCCCACGACGACGACCAAGACCGATATCCCCAACCACAACCCAATCGCCATCACACCCGCCCACAGCACCCCAGGATGAACACATGGAGCGACTGCGATAATGTGAATGGACACTGCTGACCTCAATTGGCACCCGTAGCGAGGCCGACCGCGTCCCTTATGCCCATCCGTGTCGCCGCCGCCTCCATCTCGAGCTCGTCACGAAAGGATGCCAGCTCCGTCACGCCGCACTCTGCCAGCGGTCTCATCAAGAAGGACCGCAAGGAGGTTCCCTTGCCCAGCCAGGAGCCTACCAAGGGCGTCTTGCAATATGCTCTGTACGAACACCACCCCTCATCACCACTATCCCCCACAACGCTCCCCCCTCGACCGCAAGAATCTCCCTACTCGCCACATCACCAAACACCTTCTTCCGTCCGCGCCAAACTAACTCGCACCTTCTAGCACCTCCCTCGATGTAATAACGAACTGGGCCCGCCAGTCCTCCCTCTGGCCCATGACCTTCGGTCTCGCCTGCTGCGCCGTCGAGATGATGCACCTCTCCACGCCCCGATACGACCAGGACCGTCTCGGCATCATTTTCCGCGCCTCCCCGCGTCAGTCCGACGTGATGATTGTCGCCGGCACCCTCACAAACAAGATGGCCCCCGCCCTGCGCCAGGTCTACGACCAGATGCCCGACCCCCGCTGGGTCATCTCCATGGGCTCCTGCGCCAACGGAGGCGGCTACTACCACTACAGCTACTCCGTCGTCCGCGGCTGCGACCGCATCGTCCCCGTCGACGTCTACGTCCCCGGCTGCCCCCCAACCTCCGAGGCCCTCATGTACGGCATCTTCCAGCTCCAGCGTAAGATGCGCAACACCAAGATCACCCGCATGTGGTACCGCAAGTAGATTATTTGCCGTCTGTTCCATGGGTGGTTTATGCGTGGATGGGGTGCCGGTGCGTGGGAAAAATTTAGGCGTGGCCTTTTAGCCACTTAGCCATTGGAGACGAAGCGAAGATAGGAGAGATGATCCCACAGGAGAGAGGCTGATATGCAAAATGGCATCCATTGGGGGAGCATCCGGGAGGCTGGGCTTTCTTTCTTTTGTATGCGTGTGCGTCTGTGTACATATGCGGAGGATCCATTCGGTAGACAAGCCGCGGATGGATTGTAGATTAAACAAGTTCTGCTTCCACGATTACTTTGTTTATGGCCTTTGGCCGCTGAATGATGTGACAAAACCTGCACCGACGGTGGCGCTGGTGAATGAAAACTTCCGCTGGGAATCGCGTCCTGGGGACTGAGCACTTCGAGCTGGTAAACAAGGTTGAAGCACCCCCAGGTAGCTAGCTCTACGCAATCTCAAGCCAGTCCAACATCACTAAACTTGGCAGAATTGGACACAAGACCATCTACACGGCACAAGTACTGCCCGGCGGGTCGATTTAGAGCAATCAAAATTCCACGAGTCCATGTGATGTGTATATATAACTACCTATATGTCTGATGCGGTTACACATTGGAGTTGTGATGCCCGTAATAATCAAATACGTCGACGCCCTACGGCAAGCTCGTTTCCGCCTCTTGCCCTTGGAAGCTCCGTATGGCCACAGCTTTTCCAAGGCAAGTATTATCTCCTTGCTGCGACGCACTTCGCAGTTTTCTAGGTTACCCATGCAAATTCGCCGCACCCAAGGAGCTTTTGGTACAACACAGCCTATTCTTCCACGCTCTTGCTCGCTCTCTTTCGATCTCTTGACTCGAACGGCTTCGTCGTCTCATCGTCACTTCCTCGGCCCTCCACATATAGAAAGGAGAAAGAGAAGGTTTATTCCAAGTATCCCTAACCGCACGCCGAACTTCCGAATGAAATTGATGCTGCAGAATTCACACAAACGACAGCTCCGGGCCGGTCCATTGCCATGACGCGTGACCATAAGGCATGATGCAAGTCTTGAGCCTACGTCGAACCGGATAACAATAAGGATCGCAAATCTCGGACAGGCTTCTGCTTGCAATTACTCCTGGCCAAAGCCCATGGTCTCCTCAACGGCAATGGTGAGCTTCTGCTGCAGCATTTCGAGGCTCTTGTACGGCGGCAAGTCCAGACGGTTGAAACTATGAATGGGTTAGCGGCAAATATCGGCTGCGAAAATAACAACAGAGCTTACCATGTGTGGGCCTTCGGAAGGTTGTTTATCTCACCCGCCTTCTCAATAGTGAACCTTCTCGGTCCATCGCTTCCCTGGAGATCCTTGAAACCGTTGACCGGAATACGTGATGTACCCGTAGCAAATTGGAGCAGACGCGACTTCTGCTCTCCATCCCAGGAGCGAATTGTCTGCCAGAAGAACTGAATGACCTCGTCAGACTCAGTGTATCCGCGATAGTCAGTGTGCTTCTTCCAGTCATCGACATCGATCTCCGCAATACCACCGATGAGCAGCTCAAGCTCACGCTCATCAAAGACGTTGATAAGGTCCTGAGGGATGAGCTCGTGGAAGCCATCCTTGAAGGCTTGGAACTGCTCCGCGATACGCTTCTCGATTCTCCACTTGACCATAAGATCAACGTATTCCTTCTTGTTCTCGTTCGTGACGTCAATGTTACGTCCGTTAGGAATGAGATCCTCGACGGTCATGACACCGAAGCGCTCGTCTTCTGTAGAGAACGTTTGCTCCAGGATACCGCCAGAAATATCATTGTCCAACATCCACTGCAACGAACGGTGGAAATCGGCATCAACACCCTCCATGTCGGCGAGAACGACCGACTTGCCAAGGATCATCTTGTACAGGGCACCGATGAAGAACGCGTCGAGGAAACGACGGTGGAAAATGGCCAATCCAACGACACGGCCGATGAACTTGAAGTAGTTCAGATGCTCCGGGTTGATGCCGGAGTGGGGGTTGATCTGGAGGGTATAGTTGTCGTGGGCGGAGTACTCGAAAAGGCAGTAGAAGGGGTTGAACATCTCGTGGGAAAGGAGGAAGAAGAATTCTCTGGACAAACCACCGTAATCCAGACCATCTTCTCCGTCAAACTTGATCATTAAACGCTTCTTCAAATCAGTAGCAGACTGCCGAGTGATCTCTGCGAAAGAATCCTCGAAAATGTGGGAGCGCCGCACTTTGATGTGGCACTGGCCGGACAAAATGCGCATAGCGGGCTGCGAGCGGAAGTAGATAAGCTTCCTTCTGAAGTCTCGCTTGTACTGAGGCACGTTCTGGTCCAGGGATGATGGCAAGCGGGGGTCATCCCAAGTTGTCGTCTTCGTGTTGTGGTCCACAAAGTACACTCTTGCTGTGTTGGTAAGGCGCATTTCCCAGCCGCTAGGCAAAGGTCCCAATTGGGATACGGGCTGTTGCTGAATGGTGCCATTTGTGTTGTTTTGGCCGCCATACATACGGATGTATTGCTGGCGACGAGGGTCCACCCAGGTGGTAGTCCGGGTGTTGTGGTCCACGAAGTAAGGTCGGCCCTCCGGCGTCCATCTCTGTTCCCAACCGGGAGGCAGCTCGCCAGTACCCGGGCTCGTGGCACCGGTATGCATCATCGTGGCATTGTTCGCGTTCTGCTGGGCCGCTTGTTGCTGGGCCTGGAGAGTCGGGGAGTTTGCACCGGTGCGGTCCTCGGGAAGCGTTCGGTTCTGATGTCTCTGGCGTTCCACTTGGGTTGCGTTTTCACGCTCGTTTCTCTGTTCCACAGCTCCGGTGGCAGTAGGTCTGTTCCAGCTAGTAGTTCTCGTGTTATGATCAACGTAATATGTCCGTCCCAGATTGTCCTCTCGGCGTTCCCATCCCGCCGGCAGTCGGCCCTGCGCATCTTCAAACGGGCTGAGAGTACTGGCGGTGGTTCTCGTGGGAGCTGCGGCTCCATTTGCAGCAGGCGCAGGTCCGGTTGACGTCATGCTAGCCGGGCGGTGCGGTAGATTAACTTGAGAGCCAGGAACTGGCCCCCCGTTGGGAGCGCCCATGGCGGAGCCCGGTCTGCCGTCGGGCGGCGGGGCGGAGAGCGACGAAATGTTGGATCCTTGAGCGGGCGGGACGAGAGAGGGACGACTGGACGAGGCCTGGCCAGCGCGAGCGGGTGTAGAGAGGTTCGTAGAAAGGTTAATTATTAGTTTTCCGTGGACAACGAGGTTGTCGGTCGACTTTTTCAGGTCTCGCGTGAGCATCTGGTCTTTACGGCGGGAAGCGGGTTAGTCACGTCCTACAGGATGAAACAAGCTGACGAGGGGAAGAGCGTTACCATCTGCGTCGGGTGCCAATTCGATAACATCGCCGATTCTAACGTTAATGACGCCGAGAAATCCTTGATCCTTCTTCTTGAACTTCTTCTGGTCAAATACTTGGACGGCGAGAATGGTGTCTTCATTCACGTGGCTGTGGTTTGTCAGCGATGATGCTCTGCACGAGACATGTCCGGAGCACTACGCACAGATCGAAGCTCTCGTTCCAGTATGGGTTCAACGTCCGCTTTTGAGCCGTTGTAGTCTTGGTCTGGTCTCCGTTGACGGTAATGACAGCGAAGGGATCCGGAAACCCTGTTGACGGTGTTAATCAACATGGTGAAGTACGATGGGGAAAAGGACTACGTACGGAAGACATCTCGCTTGTACAGGCCATCTGCGGCGATGACTGTGTCGAAGTTAGCAATTGTCGATGCAGCGCGGGGAGCCGACGCGGAGATGACGAACTCGTTACTCGAAGATTGGGCTTGCGGCTACGGGCAGTTACAGTTAGCTATCGTTATGCTTCCCGGCTTTGATGGTATCGGAATGACCAGCCCATGAAGATGGGTCCGGCCCAGCAGGAGCAAACTTACTTGGGTTGCCCGGCATCATTGCGGGAGGAACTCATTTCGTCGCAGGATGTCCAGCGACAACGGTATCAACTCCCAGAATATTTGTCGTGTCCAGACGAGACTCGCCCAGTGTTGGAACAGGTGAGGGGTCACGAATGATCTGCGGAACTTGTTTGAGGATACCGGATCGCGATCGTACGGGGTATGTTTGGCGTCGGTCGAGGACGGGTGCACGCAGCAAGAGTGTGCAGCGACGGCGAGATGATGCGAACGGGAATTGAGGTTGACGACGGCGGCAAAGGCAGAGCTGAGGCTGTGCTGTGCTGTGCAGTGCAGAAACCCCCCGCTTCGAATAGCCAAGTGGGCTGGGTTTTTGGGGTTCCTCGGGGCTACGGTGGATGATAAGGTGACGCGGCGGCGGGCGGGAAGCCCGAGCGAAGGGCCGTTTTGGTTTGTAGGTAAGGTATGGTATGCTAAAGATGCTTGGGCTGGTATCGGGCCAGCGATGGTCAGGCAGAGCGAGGAGAACGAGGGGTTTTCTCGCCGATCAAGTCGTGCGGTGAGAGAACGATTCGCCGACCGGATTCGAACGTTTGCAGAGGGAGGTTGGCGATGGGAAGTCGACAGGATGGAGCGAGTTTGGTGTTTTGGTAGTCGCCCCCGTCTGAGCGCTTGTCAAACGGTATGTGTGTGCGAGTGGGTTATTGTCTCCGGTCGGAAGTGCGCAGTGAGGCAAAGAAGGTTGTTAGGAGAGATGCGGGAGGTGAGGTAGGAGGTGGGTAGGCATAGCGTCCTGTCACCAGTCAGCGGCCATAGGCAGGCATAGAGAGGGACACAGAGGCAAGAGGACTTGGCCCGTCCCGCAGCTGGGTACCTTAGGCAACCTGGAAGTACCCCGGGCCTACCTCAGGTACCTCTTCGTCCACCAGCGGTAGCAGGGAGCCCAGTGAAGTAGTGGAGTGCCCTGTATCTTTCTTAGCTGCAGCCGCCGTACAAAAGACACCTACGTTCACAGGTATGGAGTCAGGTAGGGAACCTTAGGTACCTTAGGTAACATTGGCAGCAACTATTGCGGTGGTGATAGGCTCCAGGTGTTTGGTA